AGGTTCTGCAGGGGACCGAGGGGCTGGCATTTGCCCTCACGGCATCAGGGGAGTCTGTGCTCTCGGCCACACCCCTGCACTGGCTCTAGGACATGGGCCACCAGGTTTATGCAGGTAGCCCCCTGAGGAGACTGAAAGGTGCCACTCCACAGAAACCACCTGGCCCAGGACACAGGTCACTGGCTATGGGCACTGTGGGTGGCACGGGACCAAAGTCAGCTGCCATGGAAGAAGCATGGGTTTATGTGTGCGCCCGGGCCTCGCCTAGCAGACTGTCCACAGCAGCAGAGAACACTGGGACCACCAGACATGGAGGACCACCGGAGGAACAGGCCCCCGAGGCAGAGACGAAGGATGGACAGAGTTGGGGTGGGGGGGGATTGGAGCCAGGCCAGCAAACAGAAACTCTTGTTTGATCTTCCTAACTTTTCATTGTGTTTTGGGTGAGTTTCAGCACACATCCGTTTTCTACTCAACAGCCCGTATGCTTTGTGTCTCAGGGCATCTGCCCAACATCACAGCCCTCCTCCCACCTCCTCTTTGCGACTCCCGTTTTATTCCTTTCTCTCCTGCCCCTTCCTGCCTTCTCAGCTTCTCCACTGGGCACATGCTGCCCTTTGGATCTCGCTCCAGTGGACCGCTGGAAGGAGGGTGTCCCTCCAGGTATTACTCTTCACCTTGTAGACCCGTACTGTTGGGCTGGAAGGTGAGCCGCGGGTCAGTGGGCGGTGAACGAGGGGCCTTGGAGAAACTGGTTTCTAAAAACAGATCATCAATGTGCCACATCCATGAAACAAGAACAGGGGCGGCAGCTGACAAGGAATGGGAGCACCCAGAGGTGGCAGAACTCATGCAGAGGGATTCCAGAAAGGGAAGGCAGAGAAAATGGGGGAGAAACCATTATTTTAAAAAGCCCGAACCAACATGTGGCTCTAAAAGATATGTGGAACTAGAAGGGAGGCTCTGTCAACAGTGAACGGGAAGCCACCCGGAAGCCTGTACTCCTGGGCTAAGCCTCAAACCTCCAGCAGGGCTCCGTGTGGGGAGACCACAGTCACAGCCCGGGGGGTGGGGGGTGGGGGTGATCCTTTGGAGTGGCATCTGTCACCTGGAGCTGGCTGAGAAAGGAAGCAAGCTTTTCTGGATGAAAACTACTTCCATTGAGAAGCTGCAGGAGGTGTGCAGGGTGGCGGGGAGGTGGGCAGGGGTTGGATATAAAAAAGACAAACTACAAATTCAAACTTACCACCATTGGGTCAATTTGGACACACAGTGATCCTATAATAGGGCACAGCAGAACTGCCCCTCTGAGATTCCAAGACTTAACGGGTGCAGACATCCTTGTGTTTTGCTCCCACGTGGTGGTTTCGAACTGCTGACCTTGTGGTTAGCAGCCCAAGAAACGTTATGCTATCAGGGCTCCTCCAAGCAAGTCCTTAGAAAGGAGCCAGCATATGTGGAGGAGGGAAGCCAGGAAGCGACAGGGACCCATGGGAGGCAGAGCAGGGAGCCCCGCAGACCAGGGAATGGGGAGCCAGGCTCCCAGGGCAGGCAAGAGGCGGCAGAGGCGCTCTGGGGAAGAGGCTAGGCTGAGCGGACGTGTGGAAGGGAGTCGCCACACGGCAGAGATGTGGTGCGTTGGGAAACATTAACCAGGAGGACTGGCCGGTGACCGGGGAGGAAATGATTAACAGAAGACATGCCCGTAGGTCTCGATGGCTTGCCCAGACTGACCCCACGGTGCTGCCGTACAGGTGGAGGGTGGGCGGGGCCACCCCGAGTTAGTCGGTGGCAGAATAGCGCGCTGGAAATTGTCTAGAGGTGGGCAGGGAACCCCCTGGTGGGTGGGGCCACTGGGAGGGGAAGCCCCCCTTCACGACCAGTCCGGGTTTTTCGTTAACTTTAGAAACTAGCTGTGCATCCCTTTGACCAAGCGAGCAAGCGGAAGGGCAGCAGGGAGCGCACCGTGACTGTGGACGCCCTGGTGGTCTAAAGGGTCAGTGCGCAGGGATTTCGAGCTCACCCAGAAGTGCTTCCGGAGGGAGCCCTGGCAACCTTTTTACCAGCGACGGAGAGCCTGCGGAGTCGTTTTATGGGAGCACGCACAGCTCCTGGGCTGCTGGCTGTCCTTGACCTTCAGTCCCGAGGGCCATGCCCTGAGGGGCTCCAGGTTCTGTAACAGGTGCGGGCTAGGAGGGCACTTGCCCACACTGCTCAGTGCCACCCACTCCATTCTGTCCCCGACCGTGCCAGGCAGAATGTACCCAGGGCAGTGGTTTCAGGGCCTTGGGTGTGGCCACCTGGCTAGGAATAGAGGTCACACCCAGCAATGGCTGGTCCGACAGGTCCCCGGTTTGGCGCCTTCCGCCCCAGGAACAGACTTTGCCCTCGCCTGGGGAGAGAACAAGCAACCAGCAGGCTGTGTGCCTGACCAGGCCTGGACCTGGAGAGCCAGGCTGGGGCAGAAAGCTGGCCTGGGGTCCCAAGCCAGAGTGGGGAGGCAGGGCATGGAGTTTGTCTAGGGGAGGGAGGGGAACCTCCTGCATGGCTGCCTGCCTCTGGTGCTGCCTGCTCTTTGTAGAAATGCAGGGCCCACCCAGGTCCAATTGCTTGGTGGTTCTTGTGGTAGCTGCCCTCGAATGGCTTCTGGTTTGGAATGACCCACTGGGCCAGAACTGCCCCCTAGGGTTCCGCAGGTGTATGGTAGGCCTTTCTCCCTCCACCCCCACCCCAGGAGCGGCTCAAGCCTTATAAGCCTTGCACCAGTAGGGCCTCTTACAGGGGAAGTGGGGCCCGGAAGAAAAGGACCTCATGAAGTCTCCCCACTGGGGTGGGTTTTGCTTGCAGTGCCTACCACAAGCCTAGCAGAAACCCGTGTCCCCGCTCGACTGGGGAAAATGTAGGCACAGCACCAGGTGGGTAAGCCCTAGCCATGCAGCCACCCACCCAGCCAGGCCCTGGGCCAGCTGGGCCAAGGGTCACAGCCTTACTCTAGGACAGAGATGGGGCGGGGCTGGCGGTGGAAGGAGGTGCTGTGGCCACCGCTGTCCTCAGGCCTGGAATGCCCTATGGAATGTGCAGGCTGTCCTCCCAGTGTGGGGGAGCCGGGTTTGGGCCAAGGAACAGATGAGCCTACACGTTTTTCTGGGGTGGTTTAGCTGAGAGCTGAGTTTAGGGAGGCCTTGGTGGCAATGCTCAGGGGCACTGAGCCAGGCTTCCTGGGTGCTCTGAGGTGCCCCCACTCCCCAGCTGTGCTGTGATTTAGGTCAGTGTGTGACGGTGGAGGCGTCCCCGGGCTGCAGCTTGGAATCTCTGGGAGGCCCAGGCCCAGCAGCATTGTGAGGGCGACCTGGCCGGTGGGGGGGTCGGTCAGAGTGGGGAGCATACCTACAGCCCTGGTCTCCCCCGCAGTGCGTCCCTTGGGGAGTAGGAGGGGTCCATTCCAAATCTCACAGCCAAGGCCCTGCAGGGAAATGCTACGGTGGGCATTCACGCCCAAATTCACAGGAACAAGAGGACCCTCAGAATAGAGTGGCTAGAGGGTTACAGTGGTCCTGACTGGCCTGTGGGTGCTCCCCAGCAAAGCTGCACTCTAGGTCACTGGAGGCTCAGCACCTCCCAAGCACTAGGGACCCCCGGCCAGGGCATCCCTATCCCTGCACCACATCTGTGGCCAAGGCAGCAGAGGAAGGGGAAATGACAGGTCACACACCAGAACTGAGACCCTGCCTGAGAGAGACATGCATCCCTCTGTTCATGTGACCTGTCACAAGCTACACCCTGTCCAGAGGGGTGGGAGGGCAGCCACTTGTACCTGGAAGGACAAGCAGGGACCGTGGACACAAAGGACAATGTCGGAGGCCAGGCTGCCCGTTATGCTGGAATTAGGCGAGAGAGGCTGGAGGTGGGGCGGATGGGGAATGGACCAGAGAGGACCAGGGATGGATGGATGGAGGACCAGGAGTCCATGCCGGGCAGGGTTCCCGGGATGTGGGAGATGGCCTGAGTTCTGCAAATGCCCCTCAACTGCTGTGTCTGCCCTGTTGTGGGGTACCAGACCTCAAAATCAAATGGGTCCAAAGGGCGGTTATGTGCTAGGGGTAAATGAAAGAGACATTAGACAAGATAAGGCATGCAAGGGCTCACCCCCCGGGACCACCAGGACTTCAGAAGTCAAATCCATGCAGAGAGAGAGAGCATATATTTCCAACCAAGGCTTATATACACTTGGGGGCATGCAAGCCCCCTAATTACAGGTAACCACGTACATAACAGAGTGGGCTGTACCCTAACCCTAAAAGTCCCTGAGTACATAGGAGGAGTCACCTAACCCCAGTGTCCGGGGCAGGTAAGGGGGAGTGACCGTCTTCAGAGCGATAGCACATGTCTGCTCCTGTCGTTCAAGCTGCCGGCTAGATAGCAGTCAGCCAGGTGCTTGTAAGACGTATTCTCAAGGCAGCACTGCTATGGGAGGGTATAGTGGGGCACAATATTAATCATGAGAATGTGATTGGGACTCACCTCCAACTCACAAG